GGTAATATAATGCAATACAGACTGCAGCTGCTTTAAACACTAGAGGAAGCAATTAAGCTCTTTCTCTGGCCAAGAACCAGCTTATCCGTGGTATCTATGCAAGAAAGCATGAACACTGCTGAAACTGTTTGCAAGAATTACGCTCACGATCTGTGGATCGCTGAAACAGCAGCAAGAGCTGAGCAGGACAATACAAAAAGCACAGTGGGGGAGCAAATGACTTCAAAACATAAATACAAATGATCAGGTTTTAACTTCTTAGCAGGAAACTTATTCTTCCATTTGGAAGTGAATTAACCACTTATTTAGAAACTAAGAGATGTAAACTGTTGTGCACTGACTCACCCAACTTTACTATGGAAGGTGACTTCAGCATTATATAACGTGATCCATTTCACAAAGACAGTGTAAGTTATGTTTCAAATTCTCAGGGTGAAGCTATACTCTTATATTCCACGTTCACCATCACAGAATCACATATGGAATATGAAGCATTGGTTGCTTTACTCAGAATTTAAATTAATAAATGAGAATGACTGCTACCAAAATTCAGTGGTTATTATTCAATGAACTGCTCCTGCTCCAGTTGGGATCTGGAAAAAATATTTTAAAGATACAATCACATGAAAACACATGAGGCCAAGATATCGGGGAAAATGTAGCTCTTTGGAAAGATAGATAAAAATTCCCAAGATAGAAAACAAGACCACAGATTCTTATGCTATCATTTTGTTCTCATTTTTTTTCTAGCCCATTGAGCCCAAAGGCTTCAGTATATACAGAGAGGCTCATCACTGTACTTTTATAATTAGGTTTATGAGACAAAAAATCATTCCTGAATACCGGATGTCCAAACAGCTTAGTGAAATAGTCTTTTCTGTGTGGAATTTATATAGAAACACAGTCCCCTGCAAATAAGGTATTTCCATCTTGTCCCTGTTTCTCTATGTGTTATATAGCAAAATAAAACTGAGGATTTCATGTTACGAATCTCCTAGTAAAAATGGGACAACTCCCTCCCCCAAAAAATAAAAATTAAGACTGCTAGTAGCCATAAATTCCTAAAGATACCTGTTAAGTCATATTTATCCTACACTACATCTCTGCACTACCATTTAAAACACTTTAGAAGGTATGGCATTACTTAAATCAACCACAGATACACCAAACGTTTGATAACTGCACAGCTGAAATCTTTGAATGCATGAAGTTGTAGCTAAAATAGCAATTAAGATGGAGAAAGAAGGCCTTAAAATCAGACAGCAAAACTGAAGGCTTCTGCACAGAGATAAGCCATGAGATCAGCTGAACAAAATGCATATTACCTTTTTGGACTATTTGATACAGTATTCACTAAAACTTTGGCAGAACAGTAGGCCTTACTATAGAAATTAAAAGCATACATATAAGGAAATGCTCTATATGATATACACGAAAACACCTCAAACTAGACTGCATTTTTTAAAAGGCAATTAATTGATAAGGAATGCAATTCCAAAGCATACTACATGCATACATGTACAAGAAAAACGGACTTGAATTTTAACTGAAAATGAGCAAGAATCAATGAAAAGGAAAAAAATCAGTTTTGATTCATGAGTCCAGCTACAGATAAGACTTCACTAAACTAAAAATTAAGCATAAGCAGTTTAAACATGCATCTATCTGAAAGATCTTTAAAATTAGCTGCCTGAAGAAATTGCAAAATCAACAGCTGGGTAACTACTAATAATAATCAAGAAGGCTAATTGTACCAACAAGATTACATTTGTTTAGAAGTGTGTTGGTGGAGGTTTTTTTTGTTTTTTCTCTTAACTTGTAAGTTCAAGACAAGAAAACCCTCCCACAGATGCATCAAATAAAAGTATTCGATCCTACATAACTGCACCTACATACAGAGGTGAAGACTCCGTAGAAACATAACTTTCTAAGACAGCATACGCATATTTATATGTGTAAAATGAGCCTTTCAAGAAAGAGCAGTATATTGAGTGCCTCAGTTAATGTTAAAATAAATGTAGTGCATCTCTGAAAGAACAAATTGTAGGATAAGGCTGACGTAAGCATGATAGCCATACAAAAATGAAGTTACCACCCAACTAACCTGGAGCATACAATCTGTGCTCGTTTACAGTACTCCCCAGAAGTTTTACATATTTAGAAAGATAAGGAAACAGTGCAAAATACCTTAGGGAAAAGCTGCTATGGATCTGACATCAATCCTAGCATTATTTGCTCTCACAACAGTCAACTGCTGCTTCAGAGAGCACACTATGAGTCCCGTGCTCTACATTTTCCTTTGGAAAGAAGGATTCTCCAGAATGAATGTAGCAGAGCCACAATAAAACAAAATGTGACCTCATCTTGGGGTCACTCCATCAATTAAAATGCAAAATGGTCGCAAGCTACATTAAGCATATCTGTTCTACCTCCAATTTCTGTCAGTTCTCTCATCATATATTTTTCAACTTGGCATTTTTTGTTTAGATACTGATTTGTGATCAAATTAATGTCCTGTACATTGTTATTTAATATGAAAGTTTAATTCTGAAAAGCTGTGCCTGCATCACAGATTCAATTAATATCTTACATTTAAACAATTTAAGAGATTATGTAATTTTCTAACTGCATTAAATAAGCAGTTACTTTGCCTCTTCCTTAAGTGTGATTAGGAAGGAAATATTCCAAAACTCATTTCCGCTGAATCTCCACAGGAGTCTGAATTTTTTCCCCTAACAGAAGTGATCCTCCAAAATGATATGTAAAGGCAAAATCATAGATCACCTAAAGAGATAAGCCCTGGTAAGTACTGCTTGCTGTTCAAGGCTGGTGGATTATTAAATCAGGGCACAACAGTTCAGCACTGAAATCAAACACTTACTGCACTCTTCAATTAGATTTCCAAAAAGAGAAAAAAAATTAAATATTTTAAAGTTACAAATATTTTAAGCACCACTGACTGTGATGCTAAGGTAGGGATAAATAGAGTGTTTTAACAAGTCAAAGGTTCTCTACTCTAGAAATCCTAGGATACTTCTACTTATATGGCCACTGCACAGCATCTGCATGGACTCTGTACACTATAAAGAAAGGATTTCTATTTTACTGAGAAAAAATGCAGGCATTTTCCCAATTGTCCTAACACAGGAATGGAGGCAGCATTCTGTGGAACGTGTGGTCACAAAACGAAGGGATTTGAAGTGAATAAAAGCAGAAATATTTCTTACAATGCAAGAACAAACTGCTTTTCCTTAAAGCTAAAAGACATGATAGGCTACAAGACAGCATTTTAAAGTTGCATACAGAAAAAAAATAAGCATTGTGTCAACCCCTTTAAGTGGTTGAATTAAAAAGTTAAAGTTTTGAAGCTGAGAGGACTTGGAGGTTAAGTAGTAATCATGTGAAACAGAAATAGCACTTGTCCTTGAAGAGGGACAGAACAGTTAAAGGTCTGAATCTAGCAAGGATTTTCAAGTAGTCTCCACAAAGATAATGGGAAAACTCATTTCAAAATGAAGGTCTAAACTATTTCTCATAAAGAAAACTCATCCTTCAGTTTTTGTTTTTTTTTTTGACAACTTAAGAAGAAAGACGTTCCAAATCAAACATCAATAAAAAAAAGCAGTCAATCTCCACACCAAATGAGTACCCACGCAGCATCCTCTCCTGTCCTTACTCCACATATACACCACCTCGCAGAACCATGTTGGTAGGAGTACATTTTTATCAAGCTAACATGTTTACCCTTTTAAAAAAACAGTCTTTCTGAGGTTTTTAATAAAAAGAAAACCTAAGAATCAAACTTTTTTATGCTCTGGTAGGAAAAAAGTACCACTGAGGTTCTGGTTGTTTACATATAGACATGTATGTGTATACAGACACAGATTTTCTGTGTTATCTATCATCTCCTATTCTCTGGGCACGGATACAGGAATTTACTGAATTTATTACAAATTTCAAATTTACATTAGAGGTTAGACATGTATCCAGCTACTCCCTAAAAAAGAGAGAAGACTCTGGAAACACGTGCACTTCTATGAGAAATGTCGTTAAATAAAGCAACTGCTGGCTTTTTGAGACAACACCATACATGAGCTATGGGATAAAGCATGGGTCATGCAGAAGTACAATTAACATTTAATTCTGCTGCCGGCCAAACAAAATCCTCAGTCTGACCTCCTGTTCAAGATAGGGAAAACAGACTTTGGGTTCAAACTCTGAGTTAGCATGCATTCGACCTCCTGTGAGCTAAGAAGATGGTAGCAACACTTGTTCCCTGAACATATAAACAGCAACACTACTCTTTGACTCTATAAATCTGGCAGAACGTATCAATGTGTCAAATACTGTAAGGATTATTTGAAGTGACTTCTTTTCCCTGTAACACCACATTTCACAGCACAAGGAGCTGCAAGCCGTCACTCTAGCTGAAAGAAAGATGAAAAACCGAGAAGTAGGTGGCACCAGCCAGAGCAGAGGAGCTCTGCCCAGCCCAGCAGTGTCCCCGCGGCTCTCGTTTTACTCTCTTCAAAGCGCGAGGGCCGCTTCCACACGGCGGGACGCCCCGCGTTCACCTCTCGGAGCTTCAAAAGGATGGAAGCGCACATCCTCAGCTCGCCTACGGGAGACGCGACTAACAGCGATGCTGCTAGTTAACACAAACAATCATCTCTTCGTGATAAATAGGGCGATATCCCCACTGTTAAGAGCTGCGGTAAGGAGGTTTTGACACGAAGGCTGAACGAGGGAACGCGAACTGCCAGCCCGGCCCCGACGGTCGCCCTCCCCCGGCGCAGGGCGCGGCTGAGCCCTCAGCCGCAGCTCCGTGTCCGCCCCCGCCGCTCACCCGGCCCGGGCGAGGCGAGGCAAAGCGAAGCGGGGCAGAAAGTTGACGAGAGGTTTTCTTTCCCCGTCGGCCGGCAGGGGAGCCCGCTCCCGGCGCCCATTCAAACAAAAGAAGCTCCTGCCCTGCCCGCCCCCGGCCCCGCCGCCCCACTCACTCCGCAGGGCCCCGATGAGGAGGCTGCCGTCCTTGATCAGCTCCTTGATGAACTTGTTGGTCCTCTCCAGCTCGATCTCGTGACACTTCAGGCGCTCCCTGAAATCCGGGCTGTCCAAGTACGAGTCGCTGAACTCCAGCGTGGGCAGCCCCATGACAGCGGCGGGCGGGCGGCCGGCGGAGAGCCGCGACGAGAGACGGAGGAGCCGAGCGCTGCGGAGGGGCTCCCGGCCCGGCGGGACAGGCGGCGGCTGTCTGCCCGCTGTCACCCAGCTACATGCTGCCCGCGGGGCTCCCCGAGCCGCCGCTCCGCCGCTTCCGGCAGCGCTCTCTCTTCCTTTCTTCCCGTCCCTAAGTTCAGCCCGAACCTCCCCCGGCCCGGCCGAGGACGCCCTCCCCCCGCCGCAGCATGCTCACACGCCAGGGACGCGGCCCCGGCAGTGCCCGCCCCTCGCTCCGCGCCGCCTCCCCCTTCGCGCTCTGCCCTCCGGCGGGCCCGGCCCGCAGTGGGGACGGCCTGCAGGGACCGGCGCTGGTCGGGCGCCTTGTCGGTGCTTTACGCAGGGCTTCGGGAGGGCGGGGAGGCCCAAGGATAACATTCCTCGTGTGGAAGAGAAGGCTGCGGGAGGCCTCATTGCGGCCTTCCAGAACGTGAAGGGGGCATACAAGCAGGAGGGGGACTGACTTTTTACCCGGGCAGACAGTGATGGGACTAGGAGGAATGCCTTTAAACTAAAAGAGAGGAGGTTTGGGCTAGATGTTAGGAGGAAATTCTTTACTAAGAGGGCAGCGAGGCTGCCTAGAGAGTCTGTGGGTGTCTTGCGTGTGCCAGGCCGGATTGGATGGGGCCTGAGCAGCCTGATCTTGAGGGGTGAAGCCCTGCCCATAGCAGAGATTTGGAACCAGATGATCTTTAAGTTTCCTTTCAACCTAAGCCGTTCTGTGGTAACTGTAAGAGAACTCCAAGTTACTCATTTACTGTAGACATTTAACAATGTGTTAAAAGGAGGCTTTTATTCAGAAGAGTGCCCATGCTATGGTGGAGGAATGCAGGCCACTTTTGCTGAGAAAAGGGGATCTGCCACAGCTGGAGGAGCTGAGGCCTGAGGTGGCCACCCCACGTGTGCTGGCATTGCCCAGGGATCTCCTGGGCATGGCCTGATTGCCTGGTGTGTGCGTGGGCCAGTGGCAGGAACATTCACACAGAGGTGGATAATGAGAAAAGAGAGCAGCAAAGGATAAGGGAGGGAGGTGTGGGCCAAGGAAATACAAAACAACAGCTGGGAACACCCATATTCTGCAGTAGTAGTTGATTGTGTGTGTGGCTGAGCTAACTCTGTCCTGAAAAGACTGAGAAACTTCAAGCTCAATTACTAAAAGAAAGTGGTGTTATTCAAGTGCGCTAGTGGGTTATCTCAGGAGAAATCTGGAGTCCTCCTGTACATACTGTGACAGTACAGAAATCTGTACTGTAAAATGTATACAAATGCATAATGTGTACCTGGTTTCAAGGAGAGCTGTCTGTAAACACACCTTCAAGTCAGCAATAACTCCAATGGAAACAACCATCAACACCGTTCACAAAAATACTTTCACTTCAGCACTACCCACCGTTTGCCAAAAAATGCTTTAGAGTAAGTGATACAACAGCTGAAAGCTCCTTACACGTTTTGTGGTCTTCACACTTCTTAACTATTTGTAAAAGCTCACTTTCATATTCACAATGTATCCTTGTGAATACTGGAAATACAAAAAATAAGGCTGTAATTTCTAACTATATGGCTTGCAGAATTTGATAAAGTGAAAAAAAGTAACAATACTCTTTTGCTAGGCTGAAACTGCTCGCAGAACCGTCTCCAAATTGGCTGTCTATATTAATAAACCCATTGAAGACTTACAGTTCATACTCACTCCCAAACTACTAACTCCATCAATGTGCTACTGGGACAAATTCCATTTTTTAGTAAGAAGAAGACTGGAAAACATTATTAAGTTAGTAAATTTGTTACCTTGTTTTTTCAGGCAGTAGTGTCTAATCTCACTTGTAAACTAACAAACCTCATCCACTAGAACTACTGGATATTTGAAACAGAATCTTCTCTGATGGTTAAAAAAGTAATTTTCATATGTTCATAGTGTTGTTTTAGGTACAATTTTTCTTCCAACAGCATCATCCAATAGCTGAAAAGATACTGTCTTCCCATGTTTCTTTGATGTAATTATAGAAAGAAGTAAGATAGAACCACAGGTTGGAAAAACTTTTGAGATCACCAAGTCTCATCACTAACCCATCTTCCTTGGCGCCATAACCGTATCTGTGGAGACTGGGACTCCACCACTTCACTGGGAGTCTGTTCCAATGCTTGATCACTCTCCACATGGAGAAATTCTGCCTGATATCCAAGCTAAACCTCCCCTGTCACATCTTGAGGCCATTTCCTCACATCTCGACACTTGTCATTTGAGAAAAGAGACCAACATTTTCCTTGCTATAACCTCTTTTCACATAGTTGTAGAGAGTGATTAGGTCTCCTTTCAACCTCTTTTTCTCCAGACTAAACCACCTCAGCTCCCACAGCTACTCCTCTTAACAGCTTTTTTCTGGTCCCTTCACCAGCTTCATTGCCCTTCTCTGCACATGCTTGAGCAACTCAATGTACTTCTGGCACTGAGGGGCCCAAATGTGAATACAGTATTTTAGCTGTAGTCTCACCAGTGGACAATGAAACAACCACTTCCAGGCACCAGATCATTAACAAAAATGTTAAACAAAACTAATGTCAGTACCAAGCCCTGGGGAAAACCAATGGTGACCAGCTGCCAGCTGGATTTAGCTCAGTTCAGTATGACTCTCTGAGCCTGACCATCCAGCCAATTATTCACCCAGCAAATTGTACAACTGTCCCTAAGCTTGCCATATTATAGCTAAATAAATCGAAGTTTTCTGTCATAAAATAAAATATTGATGTACTTCCTCATTCTTGTAGTTCTTGTCTAGATCTCCTCAAATTTGATTTCATCTTACTTGATCATGGCCTACTGTAATTATACATGAGGCCTTTCTAAGCCAGATTAATGACTACACTACTGCAATACACCTTTTTTTAAGAATGTATTTGTCTCTCATGGCTTAATTACGCCTCTTACATTCACTAATCCACTTTTTTAATCCACCAGATTCCAAAGATAAAGCAGAAAAGCTCATTGGTCCCAAAAATAAGTATTTTGCATTTTAGTTCAGAGCAATTATTCCAGTAATCATGATGACTCATTTCTTTCTCTATAATGTTTTCATTTTCAAAAGTTCCAGAACCACATTTCTACTTTTGGAATCAGGATCATGAATGGAAATGTTAATGGACCAAGACTAAGCAAGTCCTCTTCAATGTTTACGAAGAACTTCCCTCTAGCCTGACATCCTCCATCCACATAACTTACTGTTATCCTTCTAACTATTCCCATATTTCTCAGAATGATCCCATCTTTCTTAGCTGAACTGAGAATTTCCAAGCTTGCAGTGTGTCAAATACTATGTAAAAATCTCATTTGTTCATATGCATTGCCTTTTTTTTTTTCATCAGAGAAAAAAAAAAATATATAGTATTTTTAAGGAAGATGGTTTAGTTAAGAATGTTTTTTGTTTCATAAATCTATATTTGAGCAGATGTAAACCCAACCCCATGTTATTCTTCATTAGCAGAGAAAATGTTTATAGCTAACCCATGAGCTTAATGAACGTCTGTGCCTGTGTCTGGAGGAGGATCAGATAAATGAGTTATTTGGCACACCTACAGAGAGGTTATCTAACAACAACAACAACAAAATCTTGACAGAAAGATAAGTCTTACTATTTTCTTTGTGTGGGAGTAAGGGGAACTCTAAAGAAAACAAGGTACTTGAGGATATTTTTGGGAAATCTAAAATCTCCAAGTGTTATAGTCAGCAGGAAATAATATATTTCTGTTCCTGTTTTTTATTTTGTTTGTTTTTTGTTTTGTTTTTCTCATCCTAAGAAGATTCTAATAAAGGGTCCAACTAGAAACACCAGGTTTTAGGACTTCAGAAGGTAAGAGAAACTGGGGGGGAGCCTAGACATACTGAAAAGGGTTTTTTCTTGAGTGTCCTGAATACTAACAGTTGCTAGAATGGAGTGGACTGTACTGAAAGACCTCTTTAGACACCTCAGTAGCACCAGTCCCTTAAGTAGAAGGCTTTAGTAAATGTGTTAGCCTGATGTTATCACTAGCTGTGAAGAGATGCATGGAAAGTGAGATACTTTTATTCTGAACCCTGAGAAACTTTGTCCTGTTTCATCCACTTCTGTTTGTTATTCTAAGCTTGTCCTAAAATCTTAGATGTTAATAAGGTCAGATTAATTTTTGTAGATTTCTCCTTCATCTTCTTAAACGTAAATACTAAACTCAAACTTCCAGCAAATGGCCCTCTTCTCACTCTAGGGCGTCCCCAGGGCATGTTCTTATTATGTTCCTATTAGCCTGAGGTTGATGAAGGAGGGGTGTTACAACACTTTATGTTTCTACCTGGCAATGTGTAAATGTCTATGTGCAAACCTCCAGTTTTATGATTCAATCTAGTTCTGTTAGATGTTAGTTTAGCAGTTAATGTAGATAAGGACAGAATGACTCTCATCTACAGGGGAATATTTTAAAAAAGAAATTGTGCCAACTCCTTTGTTGTTTCTTTTGCCTCGATATACAGAATTATGGGAAAATTACTTAGTTATTGTCTTCTGAAAATGACTGCTTCCCTTTGGAAGTGTGAAGGACTATAGGCAAAAGAACGCTAGGGCAGTGATGCTTGTGAGTTCCCTTGATGTGCTTCAGGGTACAAGATAAGCTCTGTACCTATATAGGACAGAAAATAGAATTAAAAACCCTGTTCAAGTAATTATTTACAGAGTATGTTAATTTGTTTTAGCTTCTCTAAAGATCTTATAATATCTAAGTTTTCCGTTACTTTCTTCATGGGAATTGCCAAGATTCCCAGTACCTAGTTAGTAAAAATGCTATTAAAAGTTTTCAGATTCTCATTATTAGATTAAGATTATAGATGCTAGGTTTATGTTGGCTAGCAGTGATAAATTCCAGAGAAAATTGAACATAAATAAAAATTGAACCAAGGAAGTACGTTTATGCTTTGCAATTTATTGTATGTATGAACTGAAAGGGATACTACTCTCTTTTTGGAATATAATCTGCATGTTGTTAACTGATTGCTAAATGATATAGCTACCAAAGTTTCTGTTGTTCTTTCTGCAAGTTAACATTGTCAGAGGAGTGATCAGCCTGCTTAGCCAAAATCATTGATTAGAAGTAAAAACCCGTACATAATGACTGATGTTATCATAAGATTTTAGTCTCTGTGCGCTAACGTCTACTTGCATGTGAATTCCTATCAGTGTTTCAGACTTCAATCAGAAATTACAGATCCATATTTCTTGAAAAATCTCCAGTCTTTTTAATGTATTTATTCCAAGTGGTTTGGAGAAGCTTCAAACAGCAAAGTTGAAGGCTAAAATTAAAAATCAGAATCACAGAGTATCTCAAGTTGGACCGGATCCAACAAGGACCATTGAGTCTGGCTCCCAGCTCCACACAGGGCCACCCAAAATTCAAACCATATTTCTGAGAGCAGTGCCCAAACCCTCCTTGGACTCCATCACACTCTGTGTCATGACTGCTGCCCTGAAGAGCCTGTTATATTACCCATCCACCCTTTTGATGACAAATCTTTTCCTACTATCCAATCTAAACTTTTCCTGATGCAGCTAAAAAAAAATAATGCTTACTGACTCTTACGCTGTCTCCATGCTCAAGCAGCTTTGGTACTTCTCAAGTTATTCTTAGGTGAAATATCAGGGGGAAGTTCTTTACCAAGAGAGTGGTGAGGTGCTGAAACAGGTTGCCCAGAGAGGTTGTGGATGCCCCTACTCTGGAGGCATTCAAGGCCAGACTGGATAGGGCTTTTTATTATTCTATGATTTGCAAGTGCATGAGATCTTTAAGGAAAGGTCTATTTCTGACTGATGTTCAAACTTCACTATATGTAGTTTTAAAGTTGTGATAACTTGTATTATGCTTAACTAGGTGAAAAAAGAAACTAATTTATTCTTGTGGTATATGTCAGTAAAATGTAACACAAGAATTAGTAGGGCTAAGAGCTCCTGGATGTATCATGTTAGTTGCTATCCACTGGAAAATTTTAATCTTCAGCATTCAGAACTCTTTAGCACTTAACTTGCATTTAGATTTCTTCAGTGGATAATTGGAAAAAAAGAACTGGGGAATCTTCATATGTTACAGTGTCATCTAGCTTGACACCTGCTGAGTCAACATCAGAGATTGTGAAATTGTTTTTGCCCTTGGCAAGCCAAAAGGAGCACTACTGGACTCAAAAATACTGGGAATTCAGCAGTGAGTCAGGGGAAATTCAGCTGTTTTTCTGGGATAGGAGGGGAAAAAGCACAGCAGTGGAACTTCACCAGCCATTCCAATACAAGGTCCCCAGCTCATGTCAGAGATTGTAAGAAGCTTCCATCATAAACATTAGAGAACTGCTCAATGCTTATGGTGAGTTAAACACCTCATAGCTCTGCTTTTGTGCATGCTGAGAAATGTCTAGAGTGAAATAATTTTGAGTTCAGCTCATCCTTGAGTTCTGCTAAAATCCAGGAATAAGGCATTCCTTAATGCAAATAAGAGCAGATAATTTTTGTGTCTAGGGATTAAAACCTATGAGAACAGGTTCTATTCCCACTCTTTTCTAAAAATATGTCAATCGGTTCATGCAAATGCCATTGAGTAGCAGTTATCGTGAGAAAGTCACAGTCCATGATGCTGGCTGTGCAAGTCAATGTTTAGAACAAAATACATGAAATGAAATACATTTTTCTTCTCAATAAGAAAATTGAGACAGATTAATGTGTTCAAAGGAAGTTTCTTCTTTAAATTTTTTTACATTTGGAAGTTTAGTAAAATACCTGTCATAGAATAGCAGTATCCCTTTGAAGATTTTAGTGTATCTCCTAAAGCATAGACAATACACAGTGCAACATTAAACTTCCCAAGAATATTTTAGCTAAATATACTTTTTATCTGTGAAGCTCTGAGTAGTTTTTACATTTATTGTAAAATTGATAACTGCTCTGAGGTGTGTTTTCCCTTCTTCTGAAATGTGTAATTTCCAATAAATTGAAGTGTTTACTACCAAGAAGTAAAGAGCTTCTTGTTTTATAAAAAACAAATCAAATAGCAAGTGAAGTCTGTTTTTCATGGCTACATCTGTGAATGCACAATAGATCTTCATGTGAACAAAGGAAATATGCACTTTTTTGAACTCTATCCTCTTCTCATCAGTGTTTCATTTTTTTCTTTAATTCATTATGTTTTCATTACTCTGAGGGAACAACAGGGTAGCCCTCCTGTAGATAGTGGAATATCTATGTTTCTTTGTAACTTGAGTTAAAATCCTGTTGGTTTTTGCAGTTCTTTTAAGGAAAAAAAAAAAACCTAGACCTTTTTTGTTATAACTGACTTTTATTAACATCAGTTTCATAGGGTTTATGAAATGTATTTATATTCATTTTATCTAGTACATTATTAATGTTTAAAAATAAGCATTCAAAATTTATTCGAAGAACTTAACAATCCACCTTCTGATATTTCTATTGAACTGGTAGGTAACACTAAATGCAGGGGAATTGAAATGTAGTCTGTAGTTTCAATGAAGAAGTTGCTTGGGAAAAAAGTCCCAGAAAAAGTGATTTTTTTCAATAAATACAAGTGCAATATATGTAGTGCTCTTAAGTGCAAATACAGAATAAGGAACAACTATTCAAATAGAAATTGTGTGTATTAATTCAGAGATTATAGCAGATTCACAAGTTGAGCTTTACTTAACAATGTCGTATAATTGTTAAAAGCACACTTTGTAGGAGCTCTGTTGTATCAGTAAGCTCTGGGCAATTTCCTCTGTTTTCAGGAATGATGCTTCAAGAAATATGTGGAAACATGGAGCAGAGATCTAGGAAACAAAATGAATTGTTGAACATAGGTAGCGTATGTTGTATGTAGAGAGAATACTGAGTGGTGATACCAGCCTGCTTCAAAGAGGAGACAGGTGTCTGTTTTCCTTCTTCACTTCAGACAGACAAAAGGTAATTGTTTAAAATTGTAGCATGAGAGATTCAAGCCAGGAAAAAAAATGACTAATGATAAGAATACCTAACTGTGCAAATAATGGCTCATTTATTCTTAAAAGCTATGAATAATAGAGCATTTGCACTTTTTTTCCTTGAAAAATGTCTGTTTCATATTTGTCCCTAAATAATGTCAGTTGTGTGTAAAGTAGTAAATTTCTCAAGCAATCTCTCCTAGCTTCTATTTTTCAGGCTGTGAAGTCTCTCTGAATACCCTCTCTCTCTGAATTGATCCATATCTCCCTGGAAGCACTCAAGGCCAGGCTGGATGGTGCTTTTAACTACCTGGTCT